CTTTTTATCAGGTTCGTCTTTGTATCTTCTGACAGATACTGTCTTAAAGTCTATTTTGTCTGATATTAGGCTTCCTACTCCAGCTCTCTTTTGGTTATTATTTGCATGAAGTATTTTTTCCATCCTTCATTTTCAACCTATTTGTGTCCTTGGGTTTAAGGTGTGTCTCTTTTAAACAGCATATAGTTGGATAATTTTTTAAAAGTCTATTCTGCCACTCCCTGCCTTTTGATTGGAGCATTTAGTCCATTTACATTCACGTAGTTACTCATAAGAAGTGACTTACTTCTGCCATTTTGTTGTTTTTTGTGTGTCTTAAGCCTTCTTTGTCTTTTTACTTTAGTAATGCTTCCTTTTGTGTTTTGTTGGTTAATTGTAGGGAGCCTTTTTTTCCCCTTCTCCTTTCCTTTTGTGTATTTTTTGAATATATTTTCTTAGTGGTTACTATGAATATTACATTTAAGAGCCTGTATTTATAACATTCTGGGGTAAGTTGGTATCACCTTAACTTCACTAACATGCAAGAAATTCTATACCATTCTTCTCCCTCCCCCTTGTATTGTTGTTATCACTAATTATATCTTTATGTTTCATGTGCTCTGTAACATAATTTTATCCTTGCCCTTTATATATTTGTTATTAAAACACATGAAGGACAAAACATTCAGAATTATCAATCATGAATACCTTATTACTAGCCCTTATACTTGTCCATGCATTTCCCTTTATTAGGGCTCTAACTTCTTCTGTATAGTTTTAAATTACTTTCTAGTGTCTCTTCCCTTCCATCCACAGAACCCCCATTAATAACTTTTGTAGGGCCAGTCTGGTGAATATGAACTCTCTCAGCTTCTGTTTGTCTGTGAATGTTTTTAATTTAATCCTCATTCTTGACGGATAGTTTCACTGGGTATAGTATTCTTGGTTAACAGTTTTTTTCCTTCAGCACTTTAAATATATCATTCCACTGCCTTCTGGCCTCCAATGTTTCTGAGAAAAACTGGCACAATCTTATTTGGGATCCTTTATATTTGACTGTTTTCTTCCCTCTCACTGCTTTAAGGATTCTATCTTTAATTTTTGAAAACCTAACTATGATATGCCGTGGTGTAGATCTCTTTGGGTGGTCAATTAATTTTTGACAAAAGTGAAAAAGTGAAACAAATGATGCTGGAACAATTGGACACCCATAAGGAAAAAGAAGAAGAAGAAGAACCTCAACCTATACCTTACATGGTACATAAAAAAATTAACTCAAAATGGATCACAGACCTAAAGGAAAAATCAAAATGATAAAACATTTAAAGAAACAAAGGAGAAAAATACTTTTAATTTTGGGTTAGGGTTAGGCAAAGATTTCTTAGGTGTAACACCAAAATCATGATCTCTGATAGAAAAAATTGATAAATTGGATGTCATCAAACTTAAAAATGTCTACTTTGTGAAAGATACTATTAAGAGAATGAAAAGTTAAGCCACAGATCGGGAAAAAAATATTTGCACAATATAATCTGATAAAGGACTTGTACATAGAATAGACAAAGAACTGTTAAAAATCAAAAATAAAAAAATAAATAAATGGGCAAAAGACTTGAAAAGACACTTCACTATACTTTCACCATTATCTTATCCAAGCCAGAGCAGAAGTCTTGAAACTTTCACCAATTATTAAGGCATCTACATAGCTCAGTTAAGGGGTCTCTAGCTCATATATTCTTCCTTATCTCTCAAGTTGTTTGGGCAAGAACCCAGAGCTCGACATCTTCAGGTCCACAGCTTTCTCACTCCTTGTTGTGCACAAGTCAAGGCCACTATAGGAAAACAGCAGAAAGAATGGGCTTTGGGTCATACACATATCAGCAAGCTTGTTCAATGTTTCTAGTTAAAATGAATAACTTAGGACTGCCCAGCCATTAGCTCCCAAAAGCCTTTCTTGACTCAACTTCCATTCCATGGGATGGCTTAAGTCCCTTGCAGGTTCCTGTAAAATCCTGTGCCACCAGGAGCCCTGGTGGCGCAACGGTTAAGTGTTGCCCTGCTAACTAATAGACTGGTAGTTTGAACCCACCCAGCGGCTCTGTGGGAGAAAGACCTGGTGATCTGATCTTGTAAAGATTACAGCCAAGAAAAGCCTACTCTGTCAGTTCTACTCTGTCACATGGGGTCGTCAAGAGTTGGAATCAACTCAACGGCACCCAACTATAACAACCTGTTTTATTGCATGTCTGTGGGCCTGGCATAGTAGTTAAGAGCTACAGCTGATAACCAAAACGTTAGCAGTTCGAATCCACCAGGCGCTCCTTGGACACTCTATGCGGCAGTTATACTCTGTCCTATAGAGTCCCTATGAGTTAGAATCGCCTCAATGGCAAGGGGTTTTGTTTTTTTGTTGTTGTTCCCTCTATGTTCCCACCACTACTCCGTGGATTCCTTTGGGGCTGGAACCATGTCTTACCTATTTTTGTCTTTTTGAAATTGTCTTTAAATTACAAAAGTAGTATATCCTCATGGTAGAAAAATTTTTAGATACAGAAGTATATAAACTAAAAAGTTTAAGTTTACAAAGTATAAAAACTAAAAGGTGAAAAACCCCTTGCCTCCCACTCCAGTTTCCAATCCCACTCCTCTCCCCAGAGGTTACCACTATGAACAGCGTGTTCTATATCCTTCCAGAACTTCCTCTTTGTAACCAAAATGATGCTAATAGGTACGTTAACATTTATTGAGTGCTTACTAAGTGTCAATGGGTGCTGTGCTAAGTACTTTCTACGGAAGTTCTCAATTCACAAAACAAGCCTATAAGGTAGGTGTTGTTTTTAATTCCCCATTTCACAAAAAAGGAGTGACAGTTACTAACTAGTAAAGCCAGGATTTGAACTTAGGCAGTCTGACTTCAGAGCTCATGTTCTTAACCTCTACGGTTCTTGTTTTTAAAACCTGGAATGTCACAGACATCTCTCCATAGTTACTTACATAATTTTATTTCTTCCTTTTTCAAAGTTACTTCGTGTCTTAGTCATCTAGTGCTGCCGTAACAGAAATACCACAAGTGGATGGTTTTAACGAAGAAATATTTATTTCCTCACAGTCAAAGTAGGCTAAAAGTCCAAATTCAGGGCGTCAGCTCCAGGGGAAGCCTTTTTCTCTCTGTTGGCCTTCTTCTCTTCAGTGTTCCCCCAGGCTAGGAGCTTCTCTGTGCAGGCACCCCGGTCCAAAGGATGCACTCTGCTCCCGGCACTGCTTTCTTGATGGTATGAGGTCCCCCTGTCTTTTTGCTCCTTTCTTTTATATCTCAAGAGATTGCCTCAGGACACAATCCAGTCTTGTAGATCAGGTCCTGCCTTACTAACACAACAGCCACCCATCCTCCCTCATTAACATCATAGAGGCAAGTTTACAACATACAGGAAAATCACACAGTACCAGGAATCATGGCCTAGCCAAACTGATACACACATTTTTTGGGGGACATAATTCAAACCATGACACCTCGTATTCTCTAAAATGAATGTATTTAACTCATTTAGCCATTCTCCTACTGATAGGCTTTTAGAATTTCGAAGTTTTTCATTTACTCATTTCGTCAACTCTAAAATTCCACTGACTGTAAGACACTCCCAATTTTAGAGATGTTAAAATGTGAGGAAAAGAAGTGCATCTCAGAATAAATGTAATGTAGCATTTCAGATGATGTTGCAAATGAACTTGTACTTGCATATAATTTTCATATGTTTTCTGTAGAAATTTCCTAGAAGTAAAATTGTGAGTGAAAAAGAAGGTGTATTTTGTAATTTGGTACATACTGCTGAATTCCCCTCCAGGGAACCATATCTTAGTCATCTGCGTCTGCATTTACTTAGAACAGTGTCTGTCACTGTGTAACTACTAAAGAAATGTCTGCTCAGTGGATGGAAGGCATGACCATTCCCAGCAAATGGAAAGCATTTTGAGATACTTGTAAAAAAAGAAGAAGAAAAAATAAAAAGACAGAGACTAACAGTGAAAAGATTAGTGTTACAGTATCACATTTGTGCATACTTTTTGCTGAAGCACTGGTCACAGTAAATGACAACAACTAGTAAATTAATGCATTTTATGCAGAATATGCCCAAACTGATTGCAAGATACCTTGCAAATGTACTGAAAGGCTGTGCACTCAATTTAATAAAAATACACAAGTAACTCCAGGTTTTGAAACTCCCAAGCCACCAGACACGAGAGATCTATGGTCTGACATTTTTTAAACACCTGGAAGACCACCAGCGTCAGTATCACCCGGAGTATTTATTAAAATACAGACCCCACTCCAAAGTAGCCGAATTATAATTTCTGGGGACTAGGGCCCAGAGAAGAGCCCTTGTGGCGCAATGGTTAAGCAGCTCTGCTGCTAACCAGTAAGGTCAGCGTTTGGAATTCCACCAGCCGCTCCGCAAGAGAAAAGACCTGGCGATTGGTTCCCGTAAAGATTACAGTCTAGGAAACTCTATGGGGCAGTTCTACTCTGTCCTATGGGATCACTATGAGTTGAAATCGACTCTATGCGACACAACAACAACAAGGGCCCAAGGAATCTGCATTTTAACAAGCACTCCGGGTGATTCTAACGCACTGTAAAACGTGTGAGCTATCATTAAAGGGCTTTGAGGAGAAGAGTCCCTTTAGAAAGGTGGTCGCTTTAGACAGTTCCATTTGACTATAGAGTGAATGAGGAAGTGGAGGTGGGAAAAGATTTCTTTCTAATGGCAATACTCACCACAGCGCGGAGAGCCACCCTGGCGGCGGGCGGCTGGCGCGCTGAGGCGCCCCCTGCCGGCGGTCAGCAGCCTCGTCCTGGGCTGGGCTCTGGGCGGCCGACTGCGACTGCGCGCTCAGAGAGCCGGCGACCGTGCCGGCCCGTACCGGAAGTGGAAGTCATGTGACGTTAGGCTCACACATTCCGTGGCTCGAAGCCATCCCCGTCCCCTGGGCCGGGCGGACTCGTGGAGGGGCCGGAAGCGGAAGTTGCTAGAGGTGGGGCGTTGTTGGAAACTGTCGCAATATCTTCGCGCTTCTTGGGTTTGCGCCTCCGTCTGTCCGAGCAGGTACAGAGCGAGTGTGAGATCTCGCCGGACATGCTTACCGGGTTCTAGTTGGCTTCCGGCCCCGAACTCTCGCCGAAGGGGTGTGGTAGCCCGAGCGTCTGAACCCGTTCCCAAGGGTCCTTGTGACCCTCTCGTTCTGGGAGTCCCCTGTCCCCGTTCCTTTCCCTGGAGTGAGGGCCCGCCCGGCTTCCCCGGTGTCCCCGCAGACCCCGCCATGGGCAACACAAGCAGTGAGCGCGCCGCGCTGGAGCGGCAAGGTGGCCATAAGACGCCCCGGAGGGACAGCTCGGGGGGTGCCAAGGACGGGGACAGGCCCAAGATCCTGATGGACAGCCCCGAGGACGCCGACCTCTTCCACTCTGAGGAAATCAAGGTGCGGGCGAAGGGGGAATCGGGTTCCTCTTGACTAATGTGGAGAGTAGAGACCCTCTACAAGATGCTTCCGCCTCAGCTCCTCTGAAAGTCTCCATCAGGAGGAGGAGGGTGGTGCTTCGCCTTATCACTTAAAAGTCAATTGGCCCTGTAAGAGCCCCGTTAGCAGTCCAGGAGACTGTGTCGAATTACTGATAAATGAGAGTCACCCCGAGGGAGAAGGAAGTCGCTTCCCTTAACTTCATTAAGGAGAAAGCAGCTCTGGGACAGAGTTTCAAATTCTTAATTAAAGAGTCGAGGTAGCAGTAATTGAGTCCCTATCTTTCCTTTTCTCTTAGGTATAATTAATTTCACAGCTTTGAGAAATCCCTTACTTTTCCGCAGACTGACGCTTTTAAAAGTTCATTTCACATTTATTGTACGTTTTGGAGCTACCCCAGAGCCCACTAGCAGGCTGAAAAGTAGAGTTGAACAGCTAACTGCAATTGCCAGAGGTGTTGCATTCTGCCTGAAACATTTTGTTTACCCTACTTGTTTAGAGGGGACATGGGAAAGGAATTTGACTTCTGGAGGTCAGTGGGTGAGTGCAGTGGTAGTTTGAAGCAGGAAGCCAGGGTTACTGAGCTCCTCTCCCCTGTTGTATAAATAAGACTCAATAGTTTAAACAGGCCAGAGCAAACATTTTTGCAGGTCAAATTTGGACTCCCTGTTACCCTTTGCTTTAATTTATCAAGAACTCTGACTCCTGCTTTAGTCACGTTCCTGCTAACCATCTAGTGTGGTCTGTGTTTCTAGCTGTAGGGATCTGTCCAAGGACACTTAGTGATTCTGGCAGCTGATACGTATGTGGTACATCCTAAAAAACTATACCTGAAGAGTTAATGCCTTAAAGGACAATGCAACAAAGTAAGTTTGTTGTTGTTCTTAGGTACAGTCAAGGCAGTTCAGACTCATAGCAACTGTGCGTACAACAGAATTGAAACACTGCCCAGTCCTGTGCCATCCTCACAGTTGTTGCTATGCTTGAGCCCATTGTTGCAGTTACTCTGTCAAGGCATCTCGTTGAGGGTCTTCCTCTTTTTCTCTGACTCTCTACTTTACCAAGCATGATGTCCTCCAGGGACTAGTCTCCTATTAATGTGTCCAAAGTGCATGAGACGAAGTCTCGCCATCCTGATTTCTAAGGAGCACTCTGGCTATACTTCCTCCAAGACTGATGTATTCGTTCTTCTGGCAGTCCATGGTATATTCAGTATTCTTCCAGCACCACAATTCAATAGCATCAATTCTTGTTCAGTCTCCCTTATTCATTGTCCAGCTTTCACATGTATATGAGGCGAGTGAAAAGACCAGGGCTTGGGCCAGCAGCACCTTAGTCCTCAAAGTAACACCTTTGTTTTTTAACACTTGAAAGAGGTCTTTTGCAGATTTGCCCAGTGCAATATGTCATTTGTTTTCTAGACTGCTGCTTCCATGGGCGTTGATTGTGGATCCAAGTAAAATGAAATCTTCAACAACTTCAGTCTTTTATTTGTTTATCATGATGTTACATAAGGGTCCAGTTGTGAGGATTTTTGTTTTCTTTATGTTGAGGTGTAATCCCTACCGAAGGCTGTAGTCTTTGATCTTTATCAGTAAGTGCTTTGAATCCTTTTCACTTTCAGCAAGCAAGGTTGTGTCATCTGCATATGGCAGGTTGTTAATGAGTCTTCCTCCAATCCTGATGCTGCATTCTTCTTCATATAGTCCAGCTTCTCGGATTATTTGCTTAGTGTACAGATTGAATAAGTATGGTACAAGGATACAACCCTGATGTACACCGTTCCTGATTTTAAACCACACGGTATCCCCTTGTTCTGTTTGAATGACTGCTTCTTGATCTATGTACAGGATCCTCATGAGCACAATTCCATTCCCTGCAGTGTTATGCATAATTTGTTGTGATCCACCAGTCCAATGCCTTTGCATAGTCAGTAAAACAGAGGTAAACATCTTCCTGGTATTCTTTGCCTTTAGCAAAGATCCACCTGACATCAGCAGTGATATCCCTCATTCCATGCCTTCTTCTGAATCCAGCTTAAATTTCTGGCAGTTCCCTGTTGATGCACTGCTACAAGTGTTTTTAAATTATCTTTAGCAAAATTTTAGTGGTGTGTGATGTTAATGATATTGTTTAACCATTTCCGCATTCTGTTGGATCACCTTTCTCTGGAATGGACACGAGTACGGATAACTTCCAGTTGATTGGCCAGGTAGCTGTCTTCCAAATTTCTTAGCATAGATAAGTGAGCACTTCCAGCATTGCATCCATTTGTTGAAACATCTCAATTGGTATTCTGTCAACCTTGGAGCCTTATTTTTCCCCATTCCTTTCAGTGCAGCTTGGACTTCTTCGATACTTTCAGTTCTTGATCATATGCTACCTCCTGAAATGGTTGAACGTCGACCAATTCTTTTTGGTACGGTGACTCTGTGTATTCCCTCCATCTTTTGATGCTTCCTGCTTCATTCAGTATTTTGCCCATAGAATCCTTCAGTGTTGCAGTTCAGAGCTTGAATCTTTTCGTCACTTCTTTCAGCTTGAGAAATGCCGAGCGTGTTCCTCCATTTGGGTTTTCTAACTCCAGGTCTTTGGACATTTTATTATAATACTTTACTTTGTCTTCTTGAGCCACCCTTTGAAATCTTCTGTTCATCCCTCTTACTTCATCATTTCTTCTGTTCACTTCAGCTATTTTACATTCAAGAGCGAGTTTTCAGCTTCTCTTATGACATCCAAATTTAAATGACCTTCTGCTTTCTTCATGTATGATGTCATCCCACAACTCGTCTGTTCTTCGGTCACTAGCATTCATTTTATCAGATCTGTTCTTGAGATGGTCTCTAAATTCAGGTGGGATATTCTCAAGGTTGTACTTTGACTCTCATGGACTGGTTTTAATTTTCTTCAGTTTCATCTTGAACTTGGATATGACCAATTGATTTGTTCTGCAGTCGGCCCCTGGCCTTGTTCTAACTGATTATCGAGCTTCTCTATCATCTCTTCCCACAGATATAGTCAGTTTGATTCCTGCATATGCCACAGGCGAGGTCCACATGTGCACCAGATCACCCAAACCCACTGCTGTCGAGATGATTCCGACTCATAGGACCCTGTGGGACAGAGTAGAACTGTGCCATAGGGTTTCCAAAGCTGTAATTCCTTATGAAAACAGACTGCAACATCTTTCTCCCGTCGAGCGGCCGGTGGGTTTGATCTGCCAGCCTTTCGGGTTGCAGCTGATAGCTTTAACCACCGCGCACCAGGGCTCCTTCAAGTTACCGTTTATGTTATTGAAAGAAGATATTTCCAAAAAGTGGTAGTTTCTGTCACCGAGGCCATTGTTTTTCGACTACTGATCCTGCTTCTTTGTTTCCAACTTTCTCATTCCTGTTTCCAGTAATTATCACTGTATCTTGATTGCATGTTTGATCAATTTCAGACTGCAGATGTTGGTAAATATCTTCAGTTTCTTCATCTTTGGCATTAGTGATTGGTAAATTTGAGTAATAGTCATATTAATTGATCTTCCTTGTAGGTGTGTGGATATTAGCCTATCACTGACAGAGTTATACTTTAGGACAGATCTTAAAATGTTCTTTTTGATGATGAATGTGACACTATTCCTCTTCTATTTGTCATTCCTGGCATAGTAGACTATATTATTGTTTGATTCAGAATGGCCATTGCCAGTCCATTTCAGCCCACTAATGCCTAGGATATTGATCTTCAAGCGTTCCATTTTATTTTTGACAACTTATAATTTTCCTAGATTCATATTTCATACATTCCACATAGAATGGTTAGGGGGGATAAAACTACCCCACCCCCTTTATCCCTCAACATATCCTCTTTTGTATCCAGTTGCAAGTTAATCATCATTGTTCATTAGGCTAATTGCTGAGCAACTCGTTCCGTCTTTACACACCTCTTTTCTTCATTGTTGGGCTGGGCGACCGCCTTATTATCTCACACCCCCACTTGGATCTTAGCTTTGAGTCAGCTATAAAGAACCTGCTTTGACTTGGCCATACCTCCATCCTGTGATTTGTTCTTGCTTTCTGAATTTGTTGCATTCCTGAAAAGCTGTATGCCAGGTGAACTGTGGAATCGTGTTTCTCCAATAACTTGGCATCCCTTCCCCCAGAGGTAATTTTGGCCCCAAGAAGACTTTTTTAAGACACCATAAAAATCAAAGTGCTTCCTTTAAGAAGGATTTGTTGTTCTGCTGCTGTTTCCACAGCTCCTCCAGGAAATGTTTAGCATACAGATGATCTGTGGAAAATGATTTTATGTGGAGTTTGTCCTAATTTTGTTGGGAGTTACTGATATCATGTCGAAGACACAGAATTGAATGCCTCCAAAAAGTCATGGATTCTTATCTACACCAGGTCACTTGGTGTAAAGTGGTTCCAGCCTGTTACTCTTTAATGTGGAAATCTTGTTAGAGTTTAAAGAATGCAGACACGTTTTAGATAAGCCCAAAGCAATATCTGAAGGGCTTGAAGCCTGGTCGACTCCCGTGTTGGCCTCTCCCAGCCTGGAATTCCTGCTCTTTTGGCTTCTGACTAGGAAAAATGGAAAAAGTCCCTAACCACATCCATTTTACCCAGAGTTGGATGTGTTTCTTTCTCTCATATTCCAGAATGTCTCAGTTATGCAGCACTTACCACATAGGAAGTTACTGTTTACCGTAACTCTGGAGGGTCGGTCTTTTTCTTATTCACCTTCACTCCCCAATACTTGGAGTGCTCAGTTAATGTTTTTTTCCCTTCCTCCCCAGAATTCCTGCCAATTTTCAAGTTGATAGACCTGGAATTGTCCCTAATAAATGTTCATGAACTTCAGGTCTTGCTTTATTCAGAGAAAAAAATGACAGTTATTAAGCTTGTCTTGGATTGATCGCAATCTTCTTCCAGTTACTATGCCGAGCAATTTACACAGACTACCTAACTAATTCTTCTCGATAACCTTAAGAAATCGTTGTTTTTATTCTCACCATTTTGCAGGTGAGGAAACAGAGGCACAGCTAATAAGTTGTGGGGCCTGAATGTGAACCTAGGTGTTAACAGCTGTCTTCTGTAAAGGGAATTGTCATGATTTAGGGTAATTGCCTGTTTTAGGGAGCTCACAATTGGCTTCCTGTCCCTGAGTAAACTACTCTGCTTCTAGGCTCCAGAGAAGGAGGAATTCCTGGCCTGGCAGCATGATCTGGAGGTGAACGATAAAGCTCCCGCCCAGGCTCGGCCAACTGTATTCCGATGGACGGGGGGCGGAAAGGAAGTTTATTTATCTGGGTCCTTCAACAACTGGAGTAAACTTCCCCTCACAAGAAGGTAATAGCCCTGGGAGTGTTTGCATATTTGTTTTAACCCACGGATACTCTTCTTTCTGAATGGTCTCTGCAGGTGAATAGAAAAGGGTGTTTTTACAAATGGATGCTGAACAGAAAAATAATCCTGGTTAATAATTCTGAGGATTGCAGTCTCCTACTCCAGCAGTCTCTGGGTTTAAGAGCACCCCTTTCTTAGAAGAAAACTTCTCTCTGTTGAGAGTATTCTGTTTCACAGACATCTTTCACTTCGGATATTCAGCTGTTCAGGCAGGACTTCTTCAGAAAGAGAGGCATCTACTCCTAGTATAGTGGAGAGAGCCCTGGGCTTGTGGTCTTAGAGACCTGGACTGGAGTTGACACTGGTCGTAGTCTTAGTTATCTAGAGCTGCTATAACAGGAGTACCGCACGTGGATGACTTTAACAAACAAATTTATTCTTACACAACCTAGGAGACTAGAAGTCCAAATTCAGGGCACCAGCTCCCAGGGAAGGCTTTCTCTTTCTGTTGGTGGGGGAGATCCTTGTCATCAGTCTTCCCCTGGTCTAGGAGCTTCTCAGAGCAGGGACCCCCAGGGACCCTCTGCTTCCGGTGCTTCTTTTCTGTTGGTATGAGGTCCGTATCTCTCTCCTGGCTTTTCTCTCCTTTTATCTCTTGTAAGGGAAAAGGTCATGCAGGCCACACCCCAGGAAAACTCCCCTTACGTGGATCAGGGCTGTGACCTGAGTAAGGGTGTTGCACCCCACCCTAATCCTCTTTAATTTGACCTAATCTTGCCTCATTAACCACAAGCAGCGATTAGGATTTACAACACATAGGAAAATCACATCAGATCACAAAATGGAGGAAGACCACACAGTACTGGGAATCATAGCCTAGGCAAGTTAACATATATTTTTTGGTGGGGGACACTGTTCAATCCATGACAGTCCTGCTAACCTATACAAGGCACTTAACATCTGAGCCTTAGTTTTTTTATCTGCAGGAAGGGAATATTGGACCAGATGATCTCTGAGGTCCCTTCTCACTTTGACACTGTGTATTACTTTTGTTTGAAAGGTACATGTTATGCAGGCATCCTTAGCAAAGATGTAGTAAAAGACTTTCTCAGGCTGTAGCATAGATTTCTGTCTCAAATTGTCAATGAAGAACCGCCTTCACGAGGGAGTACTTTTGATGAAATGAAGGGAGAAGTCATATCCTGCCAGCCAGGTCTGACGATTGTCACTGTGCAGCCTGCTCTTCAGACAGAAATGTTGGAGAAAGAAAGGGCATAGTCACAAATCAATTAAAGTCAGAGGAACAAAGAAACTATGAAAGAGGTTTCCTGGAATTTTTTTAGTAGCTGTGCAAGTTTCTTTAGAGAACGTGTGTGTATTGTATTAAATAGATCCCCTTTCCTGCCCAAGGCAAGCCGACAAAGAGTGAAAGCCGGCAGGTGTGTTTATCTTGTATTGTCATCCTCTTTGGCATCCAGTGCTGCCAGTGGCGTTTTGCCTGCAAGCTTGTGAAGGATGTATGCCTGACTGGTGACCTTGTGACATTAGTAATGTGGATTCCTGGCATTTGAGCAAAGTGTATTTTCAGGAAAACCTTGCATTGCTAATTCCTTTGAGCCTTTCTAGATTTAGATCATTGTGTTAGAGTTTCTGAAATTGGGTAACAATATTTGTTCTGCTGCCACTGAACTCTTGGTTTTACATGGGTACAACGTTTTGTTTTCTCCATCGCTGGTTTTGCAAGTAAGCTAAGAGGGAACCCCCATGCCCCCGAGCTGAAGTCCTCTGCTTCCTTTTTCCTTGCAGCCACAATAACTTTGTAGCCATCCTGGATCTGCCTGAAGGGGAGCATCAGTACAAGTTCTTTGTGGATGGCCAGTGGACACACGACCCTTCCGAGGTACTCTTCCTCCAGCCCTCTGTCCTCAGAGTGCCTGTACAATCCACCGTCCCTTCTAGACTGGTGCCAGGTCCCTTTGCCCTCCTAATAAAAGTCCTTGTGTGTGGCTGAGCTAGGTAGCAGTCCTAATTGTCAGACTACACGAGTACTTGACCAGGATGAGCAGGGTGGCTAGCCAAGAGATGAGACGTACCAGCCAGGAATTCCAGTCCTCTACAGAGTAACTCCCGGACACCGTCCACATTATGATTTCTGCCTGTCTGTCTCTTCTCAGCCAATAGTAACCAGCCAGCTTGGCACAGTTAACAACATCATTCAAGTGAAGAAAACTGACTTTGAAGTATTTGATGCTTTAATGGTGGATTCCCAAAAGTGCTCCGATGTGTCTGGTATGAACCCAGTTATTTTATCCCACATGTGTGCAGGTGGGGGCTATGCAGTCAAGAAATACTCTTGTCTTTCTCTTGCCTCTCTCTCGAGCTGAAGCTGCCCAGTCAGGTGGACGTTTGTAGCTCCCTGAAGAGCTACAGAACGGATTCCTACCTGTCAGGTCCGGTTGTTGAATTTTGGCCCCAAGGGAGCTCTTGAGTTATTTTCCTGGTCATCTCCGCTACTCAGTAGGCCTGCTTGGCCACAAAAAGCGGACAATGGGAACAGAACCAGAGTGTGATCTCATACTTCAAGGCCCTGGGAGTCCTGTTGGGTCAGAGAGGATGGGCCAGCCCTGGTGAAGCCTGCCAGCTCACTTCCTCCGCAGGGTGCCAGGAGCGGACACTCCAGTGACCTTGGCCGTTACTTGGGAGCTACATTAGTTTCTTACCCGAATCCCTTCAGGGGAGAAAGGCGTGCCACCGGAAGCAGCTTGCATAGCACAGCTCTCCGTTATGGGAACCTGCCCAGTACAGACTAGTCTCCCTAAAACTTTCCCATCTTCCAAGAGCCTTTCCATTATCGGGGTGTCAATACATTGCTTTTCATCCAAACCCCACAGGAATAAACTACCTGGAAACAGATAATACATACAGTTAAGGGGGAAATACATGTCATAATCAAAAGTGTCAACACCAGCTACACTTCCCCTTCTTGCAGGGGTTTAAACAGTTCCTAGAAGCCGGTGGGAGGCAGTGGAAAGTTTCCCCAGGAGTCTTCCTGGTGCTCTAAGAAAATAGATTCATTTCCGTTTACACGATGATTCCTCATCGTCACCTGGCTGCGCCTACAGGCCAGACCACCAGGATCCCCTATTCTCGTCAGTATAGAAATCACAGTGGTGAGTGGTCCGTGGTGGGCTTTGTGTGGCTGACAAGTCAGGTGGTTCAGTAGAATTGAAATCCGAAAACAGCATGTGTATTTTTTTTGTCTGGTTGGCTTTTCTTCTAGATGTCTTTCTTTAGATAGCTAATCTTTGGGAGAAATCATTTCTTTTTAGATAGGTGGGAGTTGGGGGATGGAAGAAACGCCCAATCTCCCCCTCCTTGCTAATAAAGGCAATTTGAGGCCATATATTAAAGCTCTTAGTTGAGTTCCCACACTCTAGGTCACCGGGGGAAAGAAAACTGGTCCCTCGCTGCCAGTAAACCAACTTCAAGCTCTCTACAAACTTCTCATGTTTAGGCACTCACTTTGTTAAAATTTCATATGTACTTAATCCCGATAGCTCAGTTTTCTGCACTTAATGCTTTTCTCAATTTCCTGCTGAGATATGGTTGGGCTGTGTGAAGGGGGCAGGGCTCTAGAAAATGACATGGAGGGGATTGGCAGAGCCAGGGCACATCACACTTCCTGGGGACCAGCCCAAGGGTCAGGCAGCTGGTACCCATTCCACATGTTCTTTGAATAACGGCTCAGTCTTTTCCAGCTGGCTGCACATCACCAAGTGAGAGCTTCTTCTAACCCGATGAAAGTGAGCAGTAGCAGCTCCGAAGGAGCCCTGGAGGCACAGTGGTTAAGTACTTGGCTGCTAACTGTAAGGTTGGCGGTTGGAACCCACCAGCCCCTCCATGGGAGAAAGATGTGGCGGTCTGCTTCTGTAAAGATTGCAGCCATGGAAACCTTATGGGGCAATTCTTTTCTATCCTGTAGGGCCGTGAGTCAGAATCAACTCGACGGCAACGGGTTTGTTTTGGTTTAATGTGTCTGCATAATTGAGATACTCAAGCAAGAGTCTAGAGGAACCTGGGTGCGGTGGAGTCAAAGAGCCTTTAGAAGTGGGCTTGTAATTTTTTTTTTGTTTTAAAACGTGCCAGTGCCTCGTATAACCTGTTTTCTCCACAGCCCCTGTGTAAACAGGCTGCTTTATCTTGTTTTACTTTGGCTGGGGGTGCTCATAACTTGGGTTACTCACTTAATCCTCACTTGAAGCCTGGAGCTTCTTTCTGGTATTTGCCAGCCCTGCCTGAAGCGAGAAGGAAGCATTATTCTGCAGCGGACTGTGAGGTTAGGTGATTGTGAACAGCCTCCTTGTTGGTCTGGCCCAGATGTACCGGCTCTGCCAAAACTCCTGTCTCCCCTAGGGTGTCTGAGTTTATTACTGAGTTTTATGCCCATCACCCAGATTCTAGAAGGGTTTTCTCATTGCTTCTGCTCTTCACCTTTGGGACCTGTATATCTTTCAAGAGAATGTAGATCTGTTTTGAGGGAACAAGAGACAAGAAAACGAGATGACAAAACCATAAGTGAAATGAGCCTGCTCTGAGAACTCCCAGTTTTCCAAGTATTGTCTTCTCCCAATAGAGCTGTCCAGTTCACCGCCAGGACCCTACCACCAGGAGCCCTATGTCTCCAAACCCGAGGAGCGGTTTAAAGCGCCCCCCATCCTCCCGCCACATCTGCTCCAGGTCATCCTGAACAAGGACACGGGCATTTCGGTGAGTCACAGGCTTCCGCCTGGACCAGGCTCCTGTCTGTCCCCTCATAAAGAGAAGCTGGTGAGAAAGCTAAATGTCACCCACTGGTGTGAGCTGGTGGGACCACTTCTGACGTGGCAGCAGACCACAGCAAGACGTGTCCTGAGTTTGGGGGCTGTCTCCCCGTCTCCCGGCCTTTCTGATTTTTTTTTAAGTTGCTTATTCAAAAATTGTTTTGTGACAGTGGTTGCATTCCTTGCGTTGTGTCAGCATTCCCTCATTCCCTTCCACCCTGGGTTTTCTGTGTCCATTTGTCCAGTTCTCCTGTCCTTTCCTGCCTTCTTGTCTTTGCTTTTTGGGCAGGTGTTCCCCATTTGGTCTCATATACCTGACTGAACTAAGAGCCTTTTGTCTTCTTGCCTTTCACTCCTGCCTCCAACTGAGTGCCATCCCATTTAAATTTCATGATAAAATATAAAACCACCCCTTCTTAGTCAGCTGTGTAGTGAATCTCTTCCCCTGCCACCCCTCCCTCCATCTTAGTCACCAGATTACTTTCAGTAACACCAGTGCTCCTGGGTCAAAATCTAGGCTACCTGGGAAACATACATTTCCTCTGGGAAATTGAAGACATTCAAAAAGAAATGTGTGTGTCCTCCTGTTTCCCAGAGGGAAGCGAGTGACTCCCTTGTAGTTGGATCTTCCACTCTGTTTAACCTGGGTTGTCAGGTCTGCCTAGTTCTGGAATGCACGGCATAGCCACCATTCTTGGGACCCTAGACCCTCTTCAGCTTTGTCCAGGCCACCACCGAAGAGGCACATGTTTATAAGGCAATAAAATAGTCATGCTGCTGCTCGGGACCCACATAGGAGAAGTGGAGACTGTGGGTGCTGAGAGGAGGCACTGTTAAAGGCGAGTCCACAGCCACCCAATAGTGGCCACGGGCTGAGCTACCAGGCAGACTCTCAGTGGTTGTTTCCCCATCCGAGCGGAACTTAACTTTCTCAGAGCACAGGTCCCCTGGCCTGTGCTGAGTGCCTCAGGCACACATCTGACAGGTGTGCAGCCCTTCAGGTTTCGGCAGAGAAGAGGATAATGGTAGGAACCAGACCACCTCAGATCCCTCTGGGCTGACTGTGCTTCCAGCACTAAGTTGGCAACCTCTCAAACAGGTGACAGAACTGGAAGAACATCTGTTTTATATTTTACAAGCACTTTGATAAGGCTGCTTCTCTTAATTCTAATTTTACAAGGCTTGTAGGTTACATGTCTTTTTAGATGCCTTTCTGAGAAAAGGGAGGCGTCCCTAGCTGGTTTCTCTGATGGAGGACTACTTCTGGGAACAGACCAGCCAAGAGTGGCCAAAGGGGCCCGGGGCATGGACTAGGAAAGTGTCAAGACCCCTCTGTCCAAGGCAGCACCAAGCTCTCATACAGACTTCAGTTATAACCCTAAATGGCTAGCATTGTGCCCTGAACTGTTCTAAGTGCTTTTCATGTATTCTCATAAGGAGCCTTGGTGGCGCAATGGTTGAAGCAACTGATTGCTAACTGAAAGGTCGGCGGTTTGAAACCACCAGCGGCTCTGGGGTGAAATATGTGGTAGTCTGCTTCTGTAGAGATTTACAGCCTTGGAAACGCTGTGGGGTCACTATGAGTCGGAATCAACTCAATGGCAGTGGGTTTGGTTTGGTTTTTCATTATTCTCATTTAATTTGCACAGTAATCCTGTAAGGTAGGGATGGGATGGGAAGAATAAAGCACAGAGACGTTAAGGAAGAATCCAAGGTCACACAGTAAGTGGCAGAGCCGGTATTCAGATCAGTGCAGGATGGTGGGAGCCTTGTGCTCTGACCAGGTGCAGCACATGGCCTCCCTGTAGGCAGTCTCGAGGTATCTGTTGAGAGAACGATTGGTCCAGCATCTCCTTAGGATCCTAAGCCTAGAGTGAGGTCAGACACCGTGCTCAGCATCTCCCAGTCGCTGGCAGCAGAGCACTTTTCTGGCTATCCGTGTCCTTATTGCCTCCACCTTCCCTTTTGAGAAAACTGGCGTGTGCAACTCAGGCTTCTTCATGTGGGATTACAAGCTGCACTGTCCACAGGGTGATCTTCCCGCACCCAAACCCGGAATCACCATGGGGCTTGTGAGGAAAGATACAGCTTCCTAGGCTGCTTCAACTCCCAGACCTCCTAGACTGGAGGCCCCAGGATTGTAATGCCCAGTTGTGTTAAGGAGGACAGCTCCAGTCTCTTCATTTAGACACATGTCCTGGTTACATTTCCTTAGCGAAGGGTAGACCTGGAACGTCTGGTTTTACACCATCTGTTTGGGTCCGTGAGAGACCCACAGGGGTAACTGTGGGATCTTGAGGTACAGCACGGCCAGGGCTGCAGAGCCTCCTGCTGGTGTCTGGTGACTGTAGAGACTGTATCTTCCTCTTTTCTCTAAAAGTGCTTTCAGTGACAACTGATCTTCCTTCCTCCTCCTCCTTCTATAAGAAAACAGAGCCACTGCCCAGACTTTAGAAGCAAAAGCCAAAGCCTGACCAGAGACACGCTCAGATGTGTCCAGTGGACTTGCATGGAGGTCCCCATAGGTTGGAGGGCACAACCCCTGCAACCTCACCTATCCTCTCAGACAAGCCCTTTTGCATGTCTGGCTTAGAAGGGAGGTAGGCATGGGGCTGTGAGGTGAAGGGAGGAGCTTCTTGATTTCCAAACCCTAAATGCTCACGCCGGCCTTTGTACCCCCACAGTGTGATCCAGCCTTGCTCCCTGAGCCCAATCACGTCATGTTGAACCACCTCTATGCGCTTTCTATCAAGGTAATGAAACGTTTCTTCTTGTTGGAGCTGTGTTTCTCAAAGTGTGGTCTGAGGACCCCGGCATCAAATTACCTGGGGGTACTTCCAGGACTGGACTTAAGGGCATCTCCCAGAACCTGACATAGACCCACAGGCTCAGGTTCTGAAGGTGGGCCTAAGAATTGGTATTTTTGTTAAACACCTTTGATGATTCTCATGCACTGTAAAGTTTGGGACCCTTTACTTAGTTAAGCCAGCTGCTGCCTTTGATCACTTCACCCTCTTCCTTAGGATGGAGTGATGGTGCTCAGCGCAACCCACCGGTACAAGAAAAAGTACGTCACCACCTTGCTCTACAAGCCCATATGAAGAGCTGGGAGCAGATGGGCCACAGGGAACAGTTTGCACCACCAGGCTCCACGCGTGCATGTTTTACACTAGAGGGACCGGACTGTAAATTTCTCATTTCACACTCTCATAAGACATTTCATACCTGCCCTAGTCCTCCTTGAAGGTTGTTTCAGGCACAAGCAGCTCCAGAAGAGCCTCGGTCTACAACAGTCCTCTTCTCACCCAGCGGCTGTGAACCCCATCAAGGTCAAGACAGGAGTCAAGGAGACCAGGAGCTGTGCAGCCACTGCACTGCACTGCCTGAGGGCAAGTGTAATCCTAAAATATGTCCTCTGAGCTGGTCGTGGAGATGTTTCTTAAGCCAGAAATGAATGCTAGTAAAAACGAAGCAGGGGACTGAGGCCACACAAAGTTCCTAAGTGTGTGTGCATCTTTACAGCCACTGACTTGTCCCTGTTGCAGCCTGGCTGTGGCGCTAACAATAAGTACAGTGTTGGTCTTCCTGTCCTTTGAAATCAAAGCAATAGATTCTCTCCCATTCTCTGTCCCAGGGAGGCGACATTTATATAGAAATTAGAACCTGTCTGGTTTCCAGATGAAGTTTTACAATTGTTTCTTACACTTAAGTACACTAAATACTTTTTTAAAACCAGAGGTGGTTGACTGTATAGCCTTAAGGCAATTTTTCAACCATCACAACTAGAACATAGATCATGTGAAACGTCCTTAGCAATAACCTGTTCTCAGAACAGACTTCTAAAACCGCTGCTGGGTTTCTCCAGTAAGCTGAATGATCCTGAGGGCTGACTAATGTTGGCTGCAAGGTTGTCCAGCTTTTTATTCGAGGCAGAGAGGTGACAGTATTATTACTATGAAAATTTGGGAGAGGCACTGCACTCTAATTTGAATTACAGCCTAGGACACCTTGCTGAAGACCTCTGCCGCTAGTTAGCAAACACAGTTGCAGCATTTGCTGTTGTTTGTACTGAAAAGAATTTAAAAGTTGACAGCAGCCTTCTCGATTCATGTCAGGAAGACATCCTTTGGACCAAACCGGAGGACTAGGTTTCTCTTCCCTGGGCTCGGTTTCCAGGGAGCTGCCCGCAGATGTGCCCGTTAGCACAGGTTCCTGTTGCCCAGTCGGCAGAAGTTAACATTATGCCCTGTGCTCCTTCCGGGAGGGGGAGGAACGAGGTCCTTGGTTTCCAGTATTTCTTTGGTAAACCTGAATTTGAAGTACCCTTTTTTGATATTGTTTTCAGAACACTGAATGACTGTCCCCTTGTCGTACAGGTTTCAATAAAGCTTTTTAAAGATAATTGGGCATGTGCTTGGAGGACCATTTTATCCAGTCATTTGGGGGCTTGCCCTCCCCCAGAGGTTCATTCGGTGCGGTGCTTTTCCACACCTGGTCATGGTACCATTTGTGTGGCCCAGGGGTGGGGTGAATGGATAAGGCTGCTCCAGCTGCCCCAAGGGCTGAGGGCCATTCCCGGGATGCATCCAGTCACCACACAGTTTGGAAGCCTGTTAAGGGGCCTCTAAAGCCCAGCCCCTCTGAGCAGCTCAGTCAGGACAGGAAGCTGAGGAGAGCTGACCACAAAGGTTCCGGGCTTGGGCAGGCTTTTCTCCTCAGGTGAGAGGCTTTGCTTCCTGTTGCTTTTAACTGCTTGTAAACTCTTGGATGTAGCTTGTTCCAAAGTTGTGTTATCAGCTAGAACAGTACCCAGTGTCCCTGATAACACAGAGATTGAAGGTTACGGGTGTCCCTTTAAGCCTTTTCTTCCCAGGCACTATGAAACATATAAAACGTAGCAGAAAAAAGGGCCTCTGAGTGATCTGGTCCACTTGAGGTAGAGAGTGGCCTGGAAAGCATTCCAAGATGGGTATTTACCTGTCTCACCCTGGAACCTAAGTGAGGGGGATCCCTGGATTTTAGAGTTAGGGTGGACTGTGGTTGTTGGCTGCTGTCAAGTCAGCCCCTGACTCATGGTAACCCCTTGCACAACAGAACAAAACGCTGCTGGTCCTTTGCCTTCCCTGTGATCAGTTGCAGATCAGACTGCTGTGATCCATAGGGTTTCACTGGCTAAGGGATTGCTTAAGTAGACGAAGGGAAACAGACACAATTCCTATTTCCAAAACTGGATAAAATGTCCTTTAAATATAATTTCAAATATATAGCTAAGCTCAAAAGTATAAAAAGGATATACCAAGTCCCAGAAACAAACCCTTTGGTGAGCTGTGAACACAGGGTGGCCGGGGGCCAGGACCCACACCTGGGGAAGATGCTCCCAGCATGAAATAGCCCAGCACTGTGCTACCTGCTCTGTAACCAGGGATTGGAGAGGCTGGCTGCTGGCCTGAGTCAGGGCTCGGAAGGGAGCTATCAGGAAAATCCAGCATGCAGATAAGCTCCACTGACAAAGTACAGAAAAACCGAAGGCGAACAGCCAATGTAGAAACTAGGTCGGAGCCAGGAAACCCTGTCAGAGACCTCCACAGCCCAGGGAGCCTGGGAAACTCCTCAGGAGCATGACCCCATGGTAGAGGAGTGCAGGCAGAACCGTAAACCGTGTCTAATTCAACATCCCCCACAGCTTTTTGTATATTTAAAATACTTTCATTTTCTTTAAAAAACAATACATAAAGAAGCCCATTGCCCAGAAAGACTGCCCACAGACCCAAATGAAAGACTTTACACCCAAGAAGCTAAAGGTGATGGCAAGGCCTTTATGGATGTGGCAAAGGAAACCGCGCCTTGTTCAGATCACAGAGGTGAAGCCAAATGTAGAATGGGGTGTCCAAGGACCCAGATAATACTTTCTTCATTGGAATTCCCTTTATGGGTGAGGACAGGTTACACAGTTAAAGTTTAACTCAAATTGCTTTTGAACGAAGATACATTTTTCTTCTGGCCTTTACATGCATGGGATATGGCCACAAACAACAGGAAGTCAAGGGACCAGGAAGGAGAAGGGGCCAGCACTTCAACCAGCTCAATTAGAACATCTCTTAAGACTCCCAAACCCAAGATCGAAAACCAAGAATTTCAAAGTGCTCCCCCTCCATGGCTGAGGTCTAGAATTAAACCATTTTAGGGGAAAACAAACTGTTCATCTTGTCTAGATCAATTACTTCTAGGCAAGCACGATTTCCTTCTTGGGCTGTGCACTCAATTCTCCCCTGATGTCTCCACCAGTATTTACAAATGGTTTGAATGAGTTAAAGACCCAAGTCTGTAGACCACTCAGCAAATTTCCATCCAGCTTCTGCAGAATCCTTCCTTAGCACCTCTCTTCATCAGCAAATTAGTGGGGAGAAGGAATTCGAACCTTCTGCCCCAGAATGTGAACTAGGATTGTCTTCAGGGGAAAACAAGGAAGCTGTGAACAAAATGGATGTGCAGAAATCTAGAAGGCCTTAAGAATCCTTACGGATGTGAGTCAGACCCTTGGAGAGGAGCCAAAGGCTGGAGCAGCAGCCGAGCCCAGTCCCTGGGGCCCGGTATGAACCCCCGCACTCTGCCCTCACGGTTGGTTCCCACAGTTGTATTGTTTTTTCTGCCCTTCATAAAACTAAAGGCCCTTGGCCTGGGTGAGCCCTTACTGCTCTTTTATAGCCATCTGGGTGCCAACAGTTAAGCGCTCAGCTGCTAACTAAAAGATGGGCAGTTCAAGCCCAACCAGTGGCTTTGCGGGAGAAAAGACCTGGCAATCTCTTTTAAAAGTTACAGCCTAAAAACCCTGTGGAGCAGTCGGCTGTGTCACACGAGGTCACTGAGTCAGAATCGACTTGCCAGCACCTAATGACAACAACTTCCCATCTGGAAAACTCTTAGAGAAGCAGCAAGTGAGAACACAGGAGATAGCTCCAGATGTGTGTATCCTGGGTCAGCTTTACTTTTCCTCTTTGTGGTCCTCTGAAAGAGAGCCTGAGTTATGTACATGAACAGAATTACATAGAAAAGTCATTTTTGAAGTGCATTCCTCTACCTCTAACAACCCCTTCAGGGGAAACAGTTCCATTAATCATTGATAGATTCAAGGGAAAACAGTAACCAAGACTGTACTGTATTTCCACTACCCCCACCATGCCTGGCTTCAGGAAAGTTAAAAAAGCCTCAACACCATTTAAACATCTGAAAACCCAAACCCATTACTATTTGGTCGATTCCGACTCATAGTGACCTTAAAGGACAAAACAGAACTGCCCCATAGGGTTTCCAAGGCTGTAATCCTTACAGAAGCAGACTGCCACACCTTTCTCCTGTGGAGCCACTGGTGGGTTCAAACCTTTGACCTTTCAGTTAGCAGCCGAGCACTTACCCACAATTTGAAATGCCAACCTTTTGGTTAGCAGCCGTAGCTCGCCGTAGCTCTTAACCACTGCACCACCAGGTGGTGGCTCTGCTGCGCATTAGGCAGGTAATAAAATGTTTTGCATGTAAACACTGTGCCTAGTGCTGCAATCCCCAGACTTGAAGCATCATAAGCAATATTTAAACTGCTGAGAAATCTGACTAGAACAGTCCAAGGTTCTCTGCCTTGGCACTACTGACACTTTGGGCCAGGTAATTTCTTTGTTGTGAGAAGCTGACCTGTGCATTGTAGGATATTTAGCAGCATCCTTGGCCTCTACCCACTAGATGCCAGTAGCAACCTCCCGGTTGTGACAACCAAACATGTTTCCAGACATTGCCAAATGTTCTCTGGGAGATAAGGGGAGGCAGAATTACCCTGATTTTGAACCACCGGAACAGGCCAATTTAACTGCTGTGATGGGAGAGCGAAAGCTCAACTGGTCCCAGCTGGTATGCCTGGCCTTAAGGCTTCAGATTTAAATTTGCTTGAAATGTTTTCTAGAGCGGATCCCATTCAACAGGCCCGATGCTGAAGACAAACCAGCTGTTCAGTCCTATTAAGCAAATATCTCCTTTTGGCCTTAGTCTCCAAATCCTAGTTTCATGGTTATGAAATTTGCTATGCAACCAATGTCTTTAGTCTCATGAAAATTAAGTTGTTTAAGCCCAGAAAATAGCATGTCTAATTTTGTGCTCAAGAAACGGGAGCAGCGTGTAGAAAGTTGGGCCTTGTTTTTCACGGGGGCTGAGGAATTTGTTAGTTGTTTCTTTGAGGCCATTCCTTAGGGACTGAAGCACCTTTCCTGGCGCATTCCTTTTCAAGTATTCTGTGGCTGCCAAGAGTCCTCGAACAGTACCAAAATGGTTGGTATTTAATGGACATTTTTCCCAGGTTAGGAGGAGAGAAAGGTTCCAACATTTTACTTGTTCATCTTCTGCATGATTTTCGTTCTTTGTTGTGTGACCTTCTGACAAATCTTTATGCCCAACAGTAAATTACAGGAGGGACGGAATTGCTACTGTTGTTCCCGTCACAACATCAGATACGACGCTGTGGTCAGTTAACGTCACTGGAAAATAACAGTCAAAGGCTAAAAACAACAGGAACCATGAGAAAACCATTTGCCAAAATGGATGTTTATCTGAATTAAGCAAAGTTTATACTAATGAACTAAAATAATCCTAGAGAAAATTCACCTTGCGGACTGTAAAAATTCTTCTAATAAAAAATAGAACTACTTATGTTTTAAATTGCCTTGATCTGAACTCCTCCCTCCAAATAAAGCTACATTATTATGTTCCCTGTGGTCTTATCATAATGGATGACAGAAACTGTAAGTTAACCTGTTTTCCTGGCTAGCTGCATTGTAGGAGAACTGAGTAATCCTTTCAAAATGGCCTATTTAACTGCTTACGGGGCTTTCCAGTTCTGTCCTATAAAATGACCTTGATAGCCAACTCATGGTTCATACCATACTTGGATAATGCCACCCTTTTGGAAGAGAATGTTGCCAATCACTGGATTCTGGGATAGCAGTGTACTCTCACCACTGTGTGGCTCCCCCGACCCCACCCCAGAGGAAGAGCCTCCCTGCAAAGTAGGCAAGGTCCCCTGCCACAGCAGGAAGCCTACGCTGACACTTGCAGGTCAGGTGTTTTATAGTCTCAAGAAAAGATGAGGTCGTTGCACTAAAGCAAATATTTTAGATTGTTGCTTTATTTAGCTATTGTTCAACAACAAAGTGCATTCTTCTTAAGGTAGATCTTAAGCTATTCTTTGTGTTCTCTTCCTTGTTCTGAATAAAAAAAGGTAATGAAGAAAAAGCCTGTACTTTGGAGACCTAAAATCTTAGTTATGCTAATAAGCTTCTGACTGCAATTTCATGTTACAGTATTTCCTGCTGGGATCTTGGTGGTCACACAGAGCTCCCCACCCTCCAGTGAAGATGGCTGGCCACAGCTACCACCATTGAAACCAAAAGTAAATGTTGAAAAATGCACCTTTTACAATAAAAAAGTAGAAACCAATTCAATTTCCTTATTATTATTATTTTTTTTACGAATATAAAGTTTCTTGTAAATATGTACAATCTTTTGAGCTAGTTCTATAGCAGGAAGCATTTCACAAATGAGACACACGATATACACTTTCAGGGCTTAAGAAACCCATTTCTCATGGAGATCCTAAATGAAATGCCAAGACTGAAAGACCAATTTTCAGTGACCTTTCCAAATACTTGTGGACCAAGAGACAAAAACTCAGCAAACATTCAGTCGAATCTGCCCTGGGGGAAGGAGGGGATGGAGTATGACCCCAAAAACTCCAAGCAACACATAAAACAACAGCATAACACTCACCAAGGTGCTATAACATGGACGTTCATGGGAGATTCAAACAAGAAAAGCACTTAGGTTAAGAGACAAGCAGGAAGGAGCTGGGATTTGGGCCAGGCTGCAATCTGGAAAGTGATCTACACTGTGGACACGTGGGTTGGAAACATGGTCGTGTTCACTTGCTGTGGTGGAAAACAGGTCTACCTGTCAGCCTACCTAGGATGTGCCTTGGTTGTTTGAGGCGTGCCTAAGAGTCATGGAGAATCCAAAGCAAGAGATGCCTTGTGGGAGATTAAAGGCAGAAATAAGGCCGCTAGTTAGCTTGCCAACTGCAAAACCTCTAGGTTGGTTCTATACCAGTTGCTGGGAATTCCGCACTCTAGTAGAGGGCACAGAGAATCGTGTGAGCCGCACTGCACCTAAGGAGGACTTCCCAACGTCAGCAGAGTTGGAAGAGTTTAGCTGCGGCTTCTTTCTCAGGCTTCATGGTCTTAGCTCTAGCCCTAGAAAAAGGCTTACTTGGGAAGTCACAGTTTCGTGGGGGTAGAACCGTGCTGGAGTTTGTGTGAACAGAGTCGTCCTCGAGGGAGTCGGCAGGCAAGCGTGGAAGTTGGAGGGGATATTGAGTTTGAGGTGGTGGTTTGCTGAAATCCTTCTCTGGTCGTAAGGCTTGAGCGTTTTGTTTTTTGTTTGTTCAGTGCTACAGACTGCAGCTTGTTGTGGCCAGTAAATTGGCAAGTCGGCAAAGAGTCTCAATTCGGTGGGAGCTATGGTATGGTACTGATGCGCTGGTAGAGCAACCCACGGTGGCCAGCCAGGTCAGCGGGGCAGCACATGCAGTGAACTGCCATGCAGGACTCCTGGGCAGGGTCTCTCGCCTATCCCAGAGTGGGGAACAACATACCATCACCGACAGGAAGTGGGGACTCCCGGCCCCCACCCTGGCCAGAGACCCATTAATGCTGGGCGCAGAGCAAGTCTAGTGCATGCTTTCCTGGCCAAAGCTACATGGAAAGTGGGGACAGCAGGCTGGGAGATGACGCAGAGGGGTAGGGGAGGAAAGCTCTGCGAGGTCCCTTGGCCCCAAGTCACTGCCTCCGAGCTGAGGCCCGATGACCTCCGTACATTCTCAGCTGGTGGGAGGGGAAGTCGTCAAGGCCATAAAAGGCAATGAGAACAGTAAACATTTGGCTACGATGTCACCCTGGGTGAAACAGGGCCATCTGTGAGGATGGACTCAAACAAGAATGAACCTACGGGAGTGCGGGCAGGAGGTAAGCAAACCGACGGGGACTCTTCTACAGTAGGTTTCAGTAGCAAAGACTCGATGGTGTGGTCTAGCTAAAAAGGACTACAACAGGAAATACATTACTATTCAAATCTATTAAGAATTCTGTTGTCTTAAAAAAAAAAAAAAAAAAAAGAAAGAAAAATCAACCATCCCTAGGATCTTAAAGAAGCTATTAATTAGGATTCTAACCACGTTGTAGTTAGCATCCAGGTTGGTTTCCTTGGATGAACTTGTACAGGCTAGAGCTAGGTACAAAAATTTTATGAATGCTTTGAAAGAGTAACAAAGTGCAAAGAGGATGACTGCAGGAAGGTGTCGGGAGGAGACACCGAGGTGCGACGGCTCCAGAGTGCCTCGGCCATCTGCACCTCCTGGAGACGGGGTGTTCGTGCTGAGAGGGTCTGAGTCCAGCTGTGCCGTGTGTGGCTGAGTGCGTGGACGCTGGGGTCACCTTCAGCAGAGTTCCATAGTCTGGTATTTTCCTGCAGATTGACATGAGGAGTTGGTTTTTCTGGCTGGAATTTATACTGAAGACTGGTCCCAGACCTAGGAGCAAAATAGGGAAGATGGGTTTCAGTCATTCAAAGCTGGAAATGGCTGAGTTTACTTTGCACAATCAAAACAGAAAGTTTGCAGCACCTAAGCTATCCCTCCCGGCGTGGCAGTGCTCTGCAGGCTGGCACCACCTCACCTAGCCAACCCTCAAAGCTTGGGATCAGTCAGGTGGTAAACTTCACAGAAAAATCCCCACACTTAACTTGTGTTATGTACATATTTCTCTCTCTCTCTCTCTCTCTCTCTCTCTCTCTCTCACACACACACACACACACACACACACACACACACACAATTTTATCAGTAACTCGGTAAGAAAAGACACGTGGATGGCTCCTCCTCCTGTCTTTAGTGGCAGAGATGCCAACAATGAACTGCAGATGCCATTAGAAGGAGAATGTGATCCAGAAAACCAGACTGCAGAAAGCACTCTGCTGTCCAGAGTGGGCTCCTGACGCAGCCGGCCTGCCGAGGAGGCATCTGGGCCCCCTGCTCATTCGTGTAGCCCCGTCTTCCACACATACACCATCTGTTCGGTTGCTAACTTAACACTTAAATAGATAATACCGGCACGTAATTTTCAAATTTCAAAAACTTGAGAGTTCTAGAAGGCAACCACTGTCACCACTTTCTGTGTAGCCTTCCAGAAACATTCTATATGTGTGTGTCTATCTGAAAAATAGAGCAGTTTGTATAGTATGCTGTCATTTGTGTTTAGAAAGGGAGAGTATGCATACCTATTTGCTCGATACATACAAACATCTCCAGAAACTGGCTGACAGTGGAAGGGAACTTACATTTTGAGGTACATATATAATACATACAGATTCCCCTTTTAAATCTCTCCCACATTATCCACTTGCTTAGGAAGTCTTTTCGTAAATAGAGTACGTTTTATCCTAAACTTGTTAAAAATCTCAAAATCTGAATTACAGTACTGGAGTTGCTTTTCTACAACTGTGCCTTTGAGGGGGGCCTCAGCTCCCCAAGTCACCCCTTTGGCCTCTGTGACAGCTGCACAGGCCTCAGGACATCAACTCACCTTATTGACCTGGGACAGCGGGGTCCTCACGGCCCCCGCGGGCAGCCGGCCCCTGCTGCTGTCTTCAAACAGCCTCCCGGGGGACCGCTCCCTCCGTGTGCTAAGCATCCGGCCTGGGGACTTCTCTCGCTCCAGGGGTCGGCCCGGGGACTTGTCCCTGCGCAGCTCTGTCCGCCCCTCCCGGTAGCGGTGGGGTGTGCTTGGCTCTCGGGGGTGGCTGGGGCCTTCGGGGGGCGCCGGGCTGGAGGCCACACGCTTGGTGATGTGCTCGTTGTATGTCGGTGGGCCTCGCTTGTTGGGGCTGTGACAACGAGAGGGAGGTGGGGAGCTGAGGAGTTAAAACCCCAAAGGGGCATTTTCCTTCTATTCCCTCCTCCCCATCATCAATGAGTATTAGAGAGACCTGGAATTCTTCAGTCTGTTTGTTTGATTTTGGTAGTAAGGACAGGAAAGAAAGGAAAGAGGACAACAAAAGAAAATGAAGCTTCCTGCAGGCTTCTATTTACTGTGCACCTACTGTGTGCTAGGCCCATTGCTGAGCTCCTTTTCTGTTTTTTTACTCCTGGTCTGCCCCCTTCCCAGCCCCCAGAAACCACTAATCTTCTTTTCTCTTAGTAGATTTGCCTGTTCTAGATATTTCATATAAATAGGATCATATAATGTTTTCCTTTTGTGTTTGACTTATTTCACTTGGCATGATGTTTTCGAGGTTCGTCATGTCGTAGCACATATCAGAATTTCATTTCTCTTCATGATTGAATAATACTCTGTTGTCTGGATATGCCACATTTCGTTTATGCATTCATCTCTTGATGGACACTTGGGTTGTTTCCACCTTTTAGCTGTTACGAACAGTGCTGCGCCTGTGTTAAGCTCTTTACATGGATTATCTCGTTAAATCCCCCCAACAGGTCTAGAGTTACTT